TTAGGAAACATTTAAATTGTTGGCAAAATATTACTCAAAATTCCATTGGCGAACTTAGAGAACAGTAGAGAATATTAGACAGCCAATTAAGTACGAATCGCCCTGGGGTCCAATAAAAAAGTTGCGAAAATGGGAAATTGTTTAGAGTTAGAGAAACGGAAATCTAATTATGAACAAAGGAGACTCAAATGGACAGCCAATTTGTGCACACATTCTTTTTGCTTTATGTAACCTGAAAGCGCCTCGAGTCCGGTTTCGATACTCGACTTTTTCTCTCTCTTTGTCTCCTTCTCTCTCTGTCAAGTTAATGCAAAATGAAATATTTTTATTTTTCATTGAAGGCCCGCGCCCATCAAATGCAAAGGAGCGGGAAAAAGAGATTGAGCCAAGCAGTTCGCAGAAGGAAATTCGTTTGTCGATAAGGCTTAGTGGGGAGAAATGAATGGTGAAGCGGCATAATTTCGCATCCGAGCGAAACTAATTTCGAATTCAGCACACACGACCAAACGCTTCCGAGAGATGTTTTTCAGGTATTAGGCTTTCCGATACCTCTGCTTACCAACTTACATTAAATATTTAATTAAACAGTTTGGTCTTTACGGTTAAAGTTAAAGAAAAACAATTTATATCTAAATAACATAACTAATATTATGTGCTGGCCTTAAATTTATTGTTAAATATTTTCCGTAACGCCATTTATAAAATCACTTTAATCTAAACCGTACAACAAAAATAAGTATAAAGTAATAATTTAGATATACAATATAACAAATAATTTATAAGCTGAAAAATAATTTTTAATTAAAAATCTATATAAAATTGTATTATGACAAATTTATTAATTTATTCCTGAACAGCAGAACTGTTCAGGTACTTAAACAAATGTTTGTCCAAACTGTTAGCTTGTTGCTAACCATGGCCAAAATAACCCAGTCGATTTTCGACTAGGCCAAGCATTGCGTGTCTTTAAAGCCTGTCCAACAACCGAAAGACTTAAGCCAGAATTTTCGGGTATAAGTGGCCGTTGGGGTATGAAATATGCACAGGCCACAAATGCAGCTCCTTTGAGCCGCCGAAGTCGAAGTTTCTGGCCAGAGTTTTGGTGTTGAGCCTTCGCTTAGGCTGCTTATTAAATGTCCCTGGCAGGAACAAGGTGGGCGGGAATATAAACACCTTAACCACGCCCCGTTTTACGGCCTCTACGTGGGCCGGGCATTGAACAGGCTTTTATTTGGGCTTTTGGCCAGGGGAAAGCGTACGGAAAGTAAAAAGGATTCCCTTGGCGAAAGCAGCTTTATAAGAAGTTGATTTTGTCTGCTTTTGGCCTCTCGAAATTTCTATTTGTTTCACAGCCTCAAAAAAAAAAAACGAAAGCGAAAGTGAAAGTGAAGGCGGTTGGGCGGTTGAGAGGGTTAAAAATACCCGAATGAAACCAATTGAAATATTTATTTGCTTTCATAAATGAAATTGAAAATGATTTTCCCGGCCTGAGTTGGGTTCAATTTTTCCGTTCTCGTTTTCCCCTGCTTTTTTCCTCTCGCTTCACTTGCCTCGATATTTGCAGTGTGGCAATATAATTGGCGGCGAATAGCAACGTTATTTGAAATATTTATGGTCTTCGTTCCGAGTGAGGATTGTGGTTAATGGAAACCGAAGGGAAATGGCAATTTCCAGGCTATTCGTATTTTCATATCCACTTGGCTATTTCCCGATATGCCAATATATTTGCACAATAACTTTTAATGTGCGAGTATTGTGTGACGTATGGATACTTACATGTCAAAATTAACCTATTAAATATGTTTGTATGCGTTATTAAATATATTATATTACTTATTGTAACATAGGTATTTTGTTTTAATATTCTCTTTTACACTATAAGCTTTGAACTATTGTTATTATTTCTGATTTTATTTTGATTTATAGGTAATATCATAAAGTACTTCTCCCGTTTCGAAACTTTCTTAAACATAATGAATAACTTATTGAAGTCCCATTGGATTGTGTGATAAATTGTATATAACTCTCTTGTTTCGCATTTCCCCCATTTTCGCTTTAAATTCTTTAAAACTTTCATTCGCAATAACTTCCACGAAGCGGTAATGATATTATATAACAATGGAAACACCTGGGAAACTTCCCCGTTTTCCGCGTCAGACAGTTCAACCTTCTCCGATTCTTATCCCATTTCCATTGTCAACTCGGAGGACATTTTCCCTTTCGCTGGCCCCGACTTTAAAAACCGCAGTCAATGGCCTTCGCCCCCGGCTGACAGCCTTCAACATCAATTCTCGAAACGAAACATAAAACTTTTTCCTATGAATGAGGATGGCCGAGGTGGTTCGATGGGTGAGAGGGATGGAGAGGGGGAGGTGCCTTAACCAACAACCGATATCAGTATAATATAACAACATAACTTTCTGAACTTTATGAGCGCCGATTGCTGTTGTCATTTCACTTGGCTGCCGTTAATGTTTCTCCATGTTGTGGTTGTTGCTGTTTTTCATCCTGCGGCAAAAGTTGAAGAAGTTTCGAGCGCGGTTTTTGCGAAACTTTTGTCTTTTGATTTCGCCTGGCAAAACAGAGGCGAACAAGAAGAGTTTTCTTTCGAGTGAAAAGTTGTTGTCGATTTGTTGTGGTTTGCCTGCGTCGCTTCTTCTTTACTCTGGGTTAGGATTTTGTTTGTCAATGCAAAACCCCATACGAGTATATCGATTTACAGGCCACAAAGAGTGCCAATATCATATCGTATTCCCGATTACTGCACCTGTAATTAATCACATTTGCATGCGGCTCGGGTTTCACTCATTATGCACACACAGCAACACGCCACATGGAAGAATGGTCCTTTTTCATGTGGATTTCGTCGTGACAGCTCTGCTGAAATCCAATGCCGCAATGCCGCACAGATGCGTGCCCCACACTTTTGTGGGCGAGTGTGCTCCATATGGCTCATTGCCTGATTTGATTGATCCAACTGGTGACACCTCTCTGGGGGCTTAGACCGGGGTTAAATTGAATATGATGTGCAGGCGGATATGGGGCTTTCCCCAGCTGTGTCCTCGTGCATTTGTCTAAAATGTCAAATATAAATATTTGTGTGCTTCTTGTTTGTATTTCGTATTCGGGTTTCTAATAAACATTGCGTTTAGAAGGCGAGTCGAAATTGCGACGATAAATCGAGATGCTGGAGGCGTGTCACGTTTGCGTATTTACATGAAGACAACAGGACCAACACACACACAGTCAAACACACCCACGCACACACATAAAGATCCTTTCTATTGGCTGCTTATAGATGCTACTCCTGTTGCTGATGTTTGCACTTTGGCCCCGAATTGTTTTGGGTTTCCATTAATTACATTGTCAATAGATTTGAATTTGGGTGGGCGTACGCGCATGTGTCCTTCTTTGTGTAGTTAATGAACTGAATGTACTTCTGCGACGGGATGGTAATTGATAGGGATTTTCAGCTGGATAAACTGGACCGCCTCACAAAAGGCGCAACAATGGTCTTTTGCGGTCAAAGTTTACGCTCAATGACTTCTGCTTCTTGAGAATTTATATGGATTAGGGATGTTTAATTAATGAGCTTTGTTTGTGTGTGACCAGGGAATTGAAAGGGGTCTTTAACTTCTCCATTGAGCTTGTCGAACAAGAAGTTAATTATAATCAGTAGGAAAAACATTTATTCTTGTGATTTATAAATGTGGCTTTTCCCAGATATTTCCCCTTTTTTGGCTGCCATTGATTTTCCTAACAAATGAATAAATAAATGCTTTTGGCTTTGCAGCAGCTGTAAAACAAAAAGAAAATCTTATAGCCAACCGTGCGTATACGTTATATCCTCATAAATGCAATCCCGCTACTCCCGGCGGAAAATAAACATGGCGCGGTGCTTCTACTCCTACAAATCCTTCAAAAAGCCAACTTAAGCTGACACAAACACACTTGCACATGCACACGTTAACACACAGACACACACACACCAACGGGACCAGGACATAACATACATTAACGTATCAATGGCTTATTGGAGGAGCAGGCAACTCGACTATATCCCCATATAAATAACTCTCCTCCACTTCCAAATGTGTCTCCCGCCAGTTCTTTATTTTTTTTTTCTGTTTTGGAGGTTGAGTACGTGTTCAAGTTGAAATCCAATGCCAGCCTATTGGCAGGCCTAAAAAATTTGCCATTTCGGTGAGCTTGTTGTTATTCAAGGGCAGTCAACCTGTGTAATTAATGAATAATAATACCACGACAAAATTGTGGGTTTGATAACCAAATCAAGTTAAGGCCAATCGTTCTTATTAAAAAGTAAAACTCTGCAAATCTTTATAGAAGTGAAAATGTGTATAAACATATTTTCAACTTTGTAGTGCGCTTTAACCCAAACTAAAATAACCCCACAGAAATAACCAACCAAATCTGACCGCAGTGACCAGTGAAAATGGAGTCGCGCCTAAAGAACAAGGACATACAAATTGCGAGTATACCCAACTGGCTGGCCGTTAAGGCCAACAAAATGGATTTGGGGCATTAAAAATCAGTTTCGGCTGCCAAAATGTAAAAGCATAATAGCGAATCAATAAAGCCCCAGCCAAGTGGGGTTGGGTTGGTTGGTTGTCGGTAAATGTGTCGGTGGGTTTGGTCAAGTGCCGAGTGTAGGTGATATATTTTCCAGCCAGTCGAATTTTCCGGAGCTAAAAAAAAATAACGGTGGATTGAACCTTGAATACTTCTCATTTAATCAGTCATTAAAATTTAAAAAAAAAAATTAATATCCTGTTGCTTTAAGTCCTTAAGCCTAATTAAGGTTTTACTTGGTACATTTTCAGCAAATTGTAAAACATTTTCCCTTCCAAAAAAAAAGACGGAAACAGTCTCTATCAGGCATAACAATTGTTTTCTTCACAGTCTAATATGAACATCAGTTCCAATGTATTATAACATTTCAATTGTTAAGCCATGGTAAATTTAATGTGGTTAACTTTCTCTCCATATACGAGAATTTTTATACATTTTTACAACAGATTGCAAAACCAAAGAAAGAAACAGCAAAATGGACTTGAAATCAATAATAATTGCCATCGTTTTTGTGACATTGATCACATTTACCATTTCTTACAATAAAGGTACAAAGCTAAATGTTATAAGTAAGACATACACCCTATTTTAAACAATTTTTTTGCAGAAAAATGTGATGACCCTTTTAGTGAGAGGATATATGAAAAAGATGAAAAGTCACGAATCTACTGTAATGCATGGTTTACGAGATTTACATTTAGGGAAAATCAATGTCAACGATTTTTTTATAACGGTTGCAATGCCACAAGAAACATTTTTCAAACGATTGAGGAATGTAAAGCTGCATGTAAAAAATAAATGCCCCGCATATTATTAAATTACTTTGCGAGGCCTAGTTTACAAATTAGACCTTTAATCAGGACAAGTAAGAGTGTGTTCAATTCATTTATGGTGGATGTGTTAACAAAAAAAACTATTTTGCTGCAAAGGAGCAATGTGAATATTATTGCAAATATCAGTTTTCATTGAATGAGTTTATTCAATACGAAAGTTTAAAAACGTCCAAAATGGAACATAAATACAAATGCAACAATAAAATGGTTAACAAATATGTTGGAAAAGTTAATCTTACTTTCAATGCCCTTCTAAAGCTAATCTGAGCTGATAAAAATTGAATTAGCTATACTTTAACTAAATTATCTGACTTTTAAATAAGTATTTATTATGCCCTTTTTTTTGGGCATAATGATGCCTAGTATATATATAGACAAGGCGATACAAGATGGAACCCAAACTAAAAGCGTGTTAAAAGCTTTTGCAGGGGTATGATTTTTAGATGGACCTTTTATAAGAACACATGTATGAAATACCTTGATGGTGGGTGTGGTCACTCACTAAACAGATTTATTACAAAGGAAGAATGTGAATCATCTTGCAAAAATAATACACGTTAAAAGGGTTTAAAGTGAGAAAATTAAATGTGTCTAATAAAAAATGTCAACAAAAATAAAAGAAACGTTAGTCTTACTTTCAGAGCCTTTACATTTCTAGAGCTATTCCAAGTTGAGTTTGAAAAGAGTTTGTGTTAAGCCTTGACTATAATAATATATCGATATCGGGCACTAAAGTAGAACTCGTTTGTCGGATTAAAAGTGTAAAATTATACTTTTTAAAACAAAACATCGAAGAAAGGTGTTTGTATTTAGTAAGGAAACGTCAATTGTTACATAAACTGTACATAACATGTTGTACCCTCTAAAAGACTATATCAATTCAATGAGCTACACTATAATTCGATTATCTGTTCTTGTATACTTAAAAATAAGCATTTAAGTTTCTTTTGGCCATAATCTTGCTTAGTATATTACGAGAAGGCGATATAAGATGGAACCCAAACTAATTTTCATCACTATTGTTTTACTGATATTTCCGATTATTTCTTTTGCATATGATAAAGGTCAGACTCGTAGACTACTTCTAGTTTGATTCGCACTAACGTCTCATTTATATTTATAGAAAAATGTGATGCTCCACCCGCTGTTAGAAGCCCTTGCTTGGCCATGACTATGAAATGGAGCTTTTATAAAAACCACTGTATTGAATACCTTGATGGTGGATGTGGTCGCTCTAAAAACAGATTTTCTACAAAGGAGGAATGCGAATCATCTTGCAAAAAATAATACGCATTAAGACAGTTTATTTGAAAAGAAATAAAGAAATGAGAACATTCAGTATGTCTAATGAAAAATATGAGCAAAAATAAAAGAAAAAGTCTAAATTTCAATGCCCCTAAATTTCGAGAGCTATTTCAGCTAAGTTTGACAAAAGGGTCATGCTAAAACCTTTTGAGTAATATTATGTGGAGTTATCGGGCACAAAAGAAGAATTATTTGCCCAGACTTAAAGTATAAAATTATAAATGTATAAATAAATAAATTGCTTGTAACTTTTGAATACAAATATAATTTTTGGTCCATACAATTCCATCCATGAAATTAAAATGTGCTGTTAATTGGTTTCGCTTATATTTGCGACATTTGAAAGCTGATTTGCTGTGACATCGTTTAAAATTAGGCTTCCACATCTAAAGGTAATAGAAGCATGGGCCACCGAATGGTTTGGCTCCTCCTTGCATTCGCATTCCTGTATGTGGGATTTGCCTGGGATCAAGAGGGTAAGCACTAAATGCATTCAAATGCATTTCATATTCACTGGCTTCCCCCAAGCGAAGTGTGATAAGAAGCCGACGGTGACGGGAACGTGTAAGGACTACAAAATCAAGTGGTTCTACTCCAAAAGCCTCAAGGAGTGCATTATGTTTCACTGGGGCGGTTGCGACCCAACGGAGAATATGTTCGATTCCGGAAGCGATTGTGAAACTCAGTGCATGGGCTTAGGTGAGGTAAAGTACGACCCTAAATCGTAGTTACGACCTCTGCGCTGCCAAAGTTATCAAAACCAACGACAAATTCGATGGAAATCTAAAATGAATTTAAATTCAGAGTACGTAGTTTTCTTGCTCTTATTTTTGGCAAGGGTGTGGGCCTATAATTCACGTAAGTTATAACCGAATGCCAGCTGATTTATGATAATACCAGACCTACATCTGCCAGAGAAATGTGATGATTTGCCTAGTCAAACTGGACCCTGTAAGGCCTCGTTTCGAATGTGGCGCTTTATCAAGGAGCGAATGGAGTGCGAGTCCTTCACCTACGGAGGATGTCTGAGCACAAATAATATTTTCGAGCTGGAATCGGACTGCAAAGAGCAGTGCCTGAGCTGAAGCCGCAATTCAAATATAAACATTTATGCCCCCTGAGGATGGCCGTCCATTGTGTGCCACAAAATAAAAGTTTCCAGCTGCTGGGAAGTTTTTGACGCTTTACGCTCTCTTTCCGAAAATATGATTTGTCTGCAAAGTTGAAATAGATTTTCAAACAATTTTCGGGTATATATTTTCGGCGCGAACGGCGCTATGCAAATGAACTGCAGTCGAGTTTTGATTTATGCTGATGGAAAATTGAGTTGCCGTAAACAATATTATATAGTCGGCCTTGCCACTGAACGGGGGTGGCGGTGTTATAATAGGCTTGAAATCTGGCACCCGGCGATTTTCACTCAAATGCATTTTGTGCATTTTCCATTGGCCAGCGTACACTGAGCGTATGCCTAATCATCAGTCAGCGAGATGATCAACTCGACCCGCCACGCCCTGTGCCGCCCCCTCAATTCATTCAGTTCGTGGCTAGTAACCTTCGATACCGCTGTGGCTGACCCCCACTCAATATGCAGGTCCCAACACAAATTAAAACCCGGGAATACAGTAGCTGCCAACTGTGTTATTGTGTGTTTGCTCGCTGTCGCTTATTAGATTTTCCGACAACAGACAAAGTTCACTTGTCGGTTCTATCACATGTTGGCATTGCTGTCGCCATGTTTCCCTTTTCCGCTTTTCCACTTTCCCGCCTCTCCCTTCTGTTTCCGCTTTCCCGGGCGTTGTGTGTGTGCACATTGGTGTGTGTAGGGGAATTAAATTCATTAGCCTTTTGCACGCCGGCGTGCGAGTGAAAAGTGCAACCCAGCTGACGGAAAACAACAGAGCCAGCAAGATGAACGGGGACAGATTGGCAGACTCAGCCTGATGGAAAGACAACAGAAGCAATTTCGCAAGGCCACCATACGTTGCACTTCTTGGAAATACATATAAAGGAAATGATCTGAAGGCTAGTAACCGTTAAATAAATATCGTTATGAATGATTATTAATAAAAAATGTGGTGCCCAATATTCCGAATAACTTGTTGACCTTGACTAAAACAAACAAAGCTCTTTGTTTTGCAATGCTGATAACTGTATTAAAACTGGTAACACATTAGAAACCCGTTTGGCTGGACGAATCTATCGCTTGAAGCTCAGGCTTTCAGCTGGAGAACAGAATGCCTTAATGTGATCACAATCCCTTCTGCCCAACGCCATATCCGAGTGATATTCGGTTGGGTAGACGATGGGTTGGCGATCGATGCCCCACACAGGTGGCATGTCCAGACACTGATTGGCATTGTCCAACTTCACGCCGCACCTGCCACCATAAGTCCTGAATCTTGCCGGCTTGTGGACGCGATTGTAAGGATCCTTGAAGTAATCCCTGTAGTTCTGGCAGTCCAAGTAGAACGAATCGATGCCCTTCACTGAGGCGTAGTCCAGCACCTTCAGACCGGGCTTATCGCAGTTGAAGATTGAGAGTCGATGCACCCGGACACTTTTGGACACGGTCCACATGTCCACCTCTGGGATGATCATCTTGATTCCTAGTTTAAAAACTGGTTTTAAAACTACGTCTTTTTTTAGATGTTCGACGTGTTTGATCGGGTAGTGGAATGGAAAGTTCTACCTCGAAAAGTCTAAGGGGGTAAGTTTCCATTAACTCAATGCTCATTTGATTCAAAAATATATAAAAACTTTTTGAATGGGTAAAAATTACGTTTCGTTAAAGATTAAAGAGTTAAATGGCAAGACAAAACAGAATAAAAATAGTTTTTATTTTAAAGCCACAAAGGAGTAGAATTCAATGCATTAATTGCAATCAGTAAAACCAATTTGCCTTCTACCAACCAGCTTGACTTCATTACAATGAGGAAAGTGAGAGGGGAAATGGTGAGTGTACACAAGCATGTCAACAAACTAAACAGAATGCCATTGATCCATTAACTGGAAGCCTCCTTGCCACGGAAACAGAAAGCCAATCAATCAGTGCTCGGTTGGCCAGCTTTTGTTTGCACACACATAAGCAAAGTGGGAAAACCAAGAAAAGGCTAATCGGGAAAATGAGGTCAAAGGAAAACGTCGCCAGCCATCAATTAGCTGGACTGTATTCACTCAATTGTCGGCCGTAAACTGCAGATGGCTAGACTGCCGGAATTAATTAATTCTCTTATTACGCATACGACTCGTGGTACACGTGGCCATAGCTGCGTAGCATCACTTCCCAGATACCTTTCCTTTCACGACTTATCACCGAACCAAAACACCCTTTAATTAAGCACATTATATTCTATTGACACACATGAGAGTTAAAAACAGGCTTTTTGACATTCCTCTTTTGAGTCGAAAAGGTTTTTTGTGTCTGGGCATCCAAAATAATCCAGTTCTACGCAATTCTTGTGGCTCTTCACAAAGGTCCATTTGTCTATTGGATCTCTTCGACAAGGACCTCCGTTACTTGGCGGGGCATTGCACTTTACTTTAAATAAAAACCATATTAGTTTACAATTTAAGAACTTCAAATATTATTTTTTACCAATATCATAACTTATGGAAGTATGAGATCGTAGAACTAGCAAAATAAATATTTATATCAACTGGAACTGCATTACTTTGTTTAATGCAATTATTCTACAATTTCTAAGATGGTAAGCGTAAAACTTGAATTAATTTTTTAAAATTACCGAATCAATTTAATTTCATCCTCCTAATGTAACTGAACTGAACTTTCTAATACCGTTACGTTTAAGAAGATCGAATGTATTGACTTCAGACATGGTGGAGCTCATCACACACTAAACATATTTCAAACAATGGAGAACTTATTGCCAAAATCGTAAGCAAATCAAAATATTGCAAATAAAATATAAATATAAATTTGCCGAAATTCTACATGTCCAATGGGAAAAATCAGCAACTACCAGAAGTAGACAAACCGAGTTTTTAAAAGTAAAAAAGAACTGGCTGTTCACTCAAATTCTTGAGTAATTTATTTAACTAATTAACGCGAAAAGTGGCACTTGATAGATTGCCCATGAGGGAAAATCAAAGGAAAAGTCGGAATATATTCGCAGTAAGCCATTAAGTCATTGATTGATTTAACTCTAGTTCCGCGACAGACATTTTGGCCAGAGACCCAGTTCAAGGGGCGTCTTGATGGCGGAACAGGTTCGAGATTGTAGCCCCAGATTGTGGGCCGAGTTTATTTTCCCAGCAACGTCAGTGGCAGCTTTATATGTTCGGGCATAAATCATGCATGAATGTGGCAGAAAACTGATTCAAGTGGCCTGGCAGTGGAGACACTGGCGCACACAACTTTGTGCAAACTCCAAACGAACAACAGGCGGTGGCAAATTGCCCAACAAATCAATCAAATACATCTGACAGATGCTGGAGGAGCCGAGGAAAAGTTGGGAACGCTCCACAGGACATGTAAATGAAAGCAAGATGAAAACGAAAAGCTCCGGGCTGCCATTAAAGTGGCTTGTTGAATGGAACCGGCAACGCCGATGACCGGACATGATGGCCAATGATGCGGTTCGATTATTTAGGCCTTGATCAAAGTTTTAAGTTGTGAAGATGACGAGGGAGAGGACCACATAAAATATTCATGCGCTGAGCCTTAAATCTTTCTTTGAACCCCAAAAAATGAGTGCGCCTTAACGACCCTCCATTATTTCCCTTCTCTTTAAGCGCTTTTATTTTAATAAGCATCAAAAATATTCAACTTTAAAACGGCAAGTAACCGCCATGTGTGGCTCGGCATGAATTTCGGCTATTTGAATTTCATATTTAGAGGCAAACACAATAATGTTCTCGTTAATTTCATAGCTACTTTGCATTTGCCGGGGGCGTCAACATAAACATTAAAACAAATTATTCCTGCTCAAGTGAACTCAACTTCCAATCGACTTCATTATGCCACCTGCTCCCCCAGAATAGAGTCCTTAGCTTCTACCATCTGCTCATCTGGTCGGGATCCGCCTTAGAAGTCTGAACTTTAATTGCCGCCACTGCTTCTACATTTTTCCACCTTACCCTCTGTTGTTTATTTTGCCTTTTGCAATTTTCCTCCTCAACTTTTAGTCTGGCTGTGTTTTTCTTCGCGTTTATTTATTTTTCTGTGAGACTGCGCATATTTTGCCTCCAAATTAATTGTTGATATTTGCATCAAAAAATAAGAAAAAGGGAACATTTGTTCCTGCGGCCCTGTAGACGGGTTAAGCAATTCATTTTATACCCTAAAACAGTGAAGTTTGATTTTGCAAAGCAATTTATAAGGTGAGAGGCTTGTCCTTACAAAAATGTACAATTTAAGAAAGCTAAGTTACCTGTTGGCTTGAATCGGAGCTTTTTTTTAGAAATATTTATTACGTTTTTGATTTGAGGGTATTAAAAGCGTTGGCCACCAAGCGGTCCATTTTCTTATTAATTGGCAAAAGTCTGTGCTGAATTTTATTTGTTTTCTTTTTATCCAGTTGGTTAAGTGAGCGTTTGTCCAACTTGATTGGCGGCTGGAAAGAATAAGGTACAGAAATAATTGTGAACAGATTGAGCAATTAGTTTTGTTCACTTACATACTTCGGTTCACTGCAATTTAATATCTTTGCTGTACAATGAGTTGTGGCCCAATTAAATTCATTCCTTTTATCTTTTTATTGGTGAAGTAATGCTTGTTTTTAAATCAAAGCTACTTACTTTTGACTGACTTTCGTTAAACGAAGCGTTTCATAATAAATTAGCTTGAATTCATTACCAAAACATACAATTATCGGATTACGGGGGCAAAAAGAGCTTTCATTCAAATGGAATTAGAGCTTGTAATATGTTTGCAATATGTACGCTTGTATAACAAATGTTTGCCAAACACACCTTGAATGGCAACCACAAATGTCGATATGTAAACATTTTATGGGAAAACTTTTTGCAACTTTCGGGAAACTGTGAGCATAAAAAATAAAACTGCATAGCATGACTTCCTTCCCGGACATAGACACACAAAAAACCTGTAGCCCCTCAGTTGGCAAACACGTTCCGCAATCACCGCACTCCCTCCCAATCCAGCTTATCATTCACCAAATACATTACACAAATTGCTCGCTTATGGCAGGGTAAAGGTAAAAATTCAAGCGAAAACCGCACATAAAAACTATTACGCCGGCCTCCAGGTTCCCGGCGAAGCAAAATAGTTTTTCTCCGGAGCCCGTAGACCGCTTCCTGTCCAAAGGTTCAACATCTGTCAGCGGCATTCAGGCGCGACATTCGGCTCAGACATGTGGGCGACAAACGGACATTTTGGCAACATTCTGTGGCCCCAATGCAAACTGACAGTGAACTACCCGATTTGGGAAAAGCAACTAAAAAATACTTGTAAGAGTCACTTCGTGAATTTTGATTCTCTTACAGAAACATTTGTGTATTGACTTTGAATTTAAGCCAAGAAAAATAGTAAGCCTATACATATTTTGTTTTACTTTTATATCTAATGGGATTTATTTATTTATGAATATACTTTTTAACGACTTAGTAAACTTTTTTCCGAATTTATAATTATGTCCTCACATTTGGAATTTGTATGTATTAAATGAATGTATCACATGCAAAGAATTTAATAAATTTAAAACCATAAGGCCGATATTACATATATCATTTCCTTAATTAATCTATAGAAATTTATTTGAAAATATTTTTTAAATTTTGGAAAAAATAATATTCTCCTATTTCCTTTCAACAAACGGAAAAGTAAAAAGTTCCCATCGAAAACCAGCTGACAAGCATGTTCCAGTCAGGCGGAGAGACTGGAGCAGGAATACGGACAGGACATGTCCCACTCCCATAAACGGATTGACATTTCAATCTCTGGTGGAATAGGGTTGCATCGGGTGAGACATGTGCATTCCCCGCCCACTCCTTGGGCATCACTTTTCGTCTTATTTCGTGAATATTTCACAAATTGCATCCGTTTGTCGCATTTGGCAGCCATATTGCATAGCTAAACAACTTCCGCACGACTGATTGTGAGTCAATTACAAAATTGCATTTTCCCCCTCGGGGCTTGGGAAAACCTTCCATCTTCCACCACTGCACACACAGCCATTTTCAGCATTTTCCTCTGGCAGACGCGCATTTTAGTTCTGCTTGTTTGGAGTTTCATTCATTAGGCCAAAGACGCCAAAAAGTGTTTCTGGTTAAATTGGCTACCAAAATGGCTGCGAAGCTATAGCAGCATGTATCGTTTGAAGTTGCAAAAGTCCATATGTATTTAAAGTTATGAAACAATGAGAAAGTTTTCTGCGAGCACTTAATTAATGTGTAGGGTATTTGAATAGAACATTGTGCTTTCTTTTTACCAATAATGACGGAACTTTTGCGTGCTGTTTTATTCTTGAAAGTTCTATAAATTTCTGAGAATGAAACCACGTTATAAAAGATTAATTTGTTATTTGAACGAGCATGGTAAAAAATATTTAAGCCACAAAAAAACGAAGAGGAACCATATGGGTTTTTATATGTAGCTGTAATCTGTATACCCTTGCGGAGAGTATTATAATTTTAGTCATATTGTTACAACGCAGTGAAGGTTAAGACCGTAAGTCTGTCCATTTTTTTTTAAGAGGTTTTTAACGACTCTTAAATGAAGAATTAGCAATCATAAGAAAAATCGGTGAAATTATAGAAAAAAAAATAGATGTTGTTAAGTCTTAAAACATTTTACACCACATAAAGTTTACCAATTTGTTTCGATAATACATATTTAAAAACTATTACTATAAAGTTCGAATTACTATGTTTTATATTAAAAAGTTTTTACTACAAGGGTAATCTACTATCTATTTCCATAGATACGTAAAAATTAATGAACAATTCGAAGATCAAACAAATTAGAAGATCTACTAACAATAAGGAAAAATCTTGTTACTATAGATTTTTGATGACCGCAAGGGTATATAAGCTTCGCCTATTTGCTTTGAAATGGGTTATACACAATATTTCTGGAATTCAAAGTAAATCTCTAGGGCGTTGCCCAGAGTTTACCCAACGAAACATGAGTTGATCCCTTTTATACCCGTTATTCGTAGATAAAAAAGGGTATACTGTGTTTGTTGAAAAGTTTGTAACAGGTTAAAGGAAGCACCTGCGCCCCCATAATGTATATATTCTGGATCAGAATGATTTTTATATTAAACCCTTTTTTCTGCAGGAAAGTCTTCCCGTCTTTTAAACTCCTTGCTTAAAGTCCAGATTATGAACTGGACGGTTTTTGAAAAGAAGTTTTCTCATCTAGAGAATTGGTACATTTTATAAACCATTAAATAGGACCTACAAAAAAATCAAAGTGAATACCAAATTCATTTTTTTAAGACTGTGCCCTGCGCATTTGAATAATTCTTTTTCTGTATAAATAAATAAAAATGTTTCTATTAAATCGATTTCGTTTGTTTATTTGATAAGGTTGGACATTTTAATCTTAATTTTAACGATTGGTCAAGATTAAAAAGTAATCAAGAAATAACGAGCATAATAAAAACATAGTTTGTAGAGCAACCATATATGTATATATTATATATGTTTCTAGTCTGATTGCTCACTTTGGCAAATAAATAAATAATATCTCGAACCACAAAAGTTATCGTACATTACCCCCGACTTTAATGTTACACAGTGTTTGTGATCGTAATTTGGTCGCTGATATGCCCATTTAACGTATGGTGGAGACTTTGCGGTGAGGCTGGAAACGAACTTTTTTATATTACCGTTCGAGTTGATGTCTATCCAATAATCACTGTTTGAATCGAGTTTTTTTTTTATTTCCTGAAGCTCCGCCCAATCTTTGATTGAGGCCAGGTGTCCTCCGAACCGACGACATTTGTTCGATGCACCATACCAATTGAGCTTCCCATTGTTTTCAATAAAGAAATATCTTGAGCCAATCTTTTCAAACGGTTTTGGTGGGGGTTGAGAAATTCTTTCTAAAGAAGAATTTAATGAATTTTGAGGTTTCGGTTCAACTACTGCCTTTTGAGACTTCATAACGTCCCGTAGCGCCTTAAGTTCGATTTCCGTTTTCATATGTAGCGCATCTAACTGACCTACTAGCGCTTCCTTTATCCTGTCTAGTTTTTCCAGATCTTCAGTTTGTTTCCCAGCGGTATATCTGAACCACTGTTGCTGGTGTGTTGCAATCTGATCAAGCAAGCTTGGCTCGTATTGAGCTTGGGTTCCCCATAGTCCGCAAACAGTGAAGAACCATAAAAAAAAGGAGTAACACAGCATATTTAGCGAGTGAGATCTGTAAGCCAATAATCGTAACTAATTACTTCCAGGTTTTTTAAAGCTCTTTAATATGTGATAAACCGCAACGAATTCAGTTTGCAACCATATAATGAAAATATGCATGACCGAAACTTTATCATCGTATGTAAACGTCATCAAATAAGAAGAGACTTACACGGTTAGAGTTTTTCAGGAAACTTTTTTTTTCTCTGATGTTCGATCTATTTAGGAAAACAGTTTCTAAGATTCTAATATTCCGCGATCGCTATCGAAGCGGGAGAGTTATCTTTGACCCCGCACTGTCCGTCTGTCCTCCTTTCTTTTTCTATGTAAACTAGTCTCTCTTAAAGCTATCGCGCTCAAACTTTTCCAAAAGTCCTGTGGTTATTGCACACAGTATAAAGTATAAGTCAGAACGGGCCGGATCGGCCGACGATATAGGATAACTCCCATACGAGAGAATGAAATAAAAAATTCTCACGCCGTTGTATTTATCAGATCGACTTGATTTCTTTCAGTTAGCGTTTTCTAACTACTATTGAATTTCGAATTAAATTTGATCAAAATCGTATAACTCTATCATATAGCTGCCATAGGAAAAATCGAAAAATATTTATATAAATAATGGAAAGAAAATTATAACATCGTTGTTTTTAATTCCACGATCATGATTTTAAAAATATGGAGTTTTTTACTAACCCTTTTTTTAATAACACTACAAGGGTATTTAAGCTTCGGCTTGCCGAAGCTAGCTTCCTTTCTTGTTTTTCATCAGACAAGCATAATATTTGGAATATAGAGTTTTCTAATGAGTCTCAACTTTAGAATTAAAATTCATAAAAATTTGAGTTTTATATCATATAGCTGTCATATAAACAATTGTCGAAAATATAGACGAATAATGAAAAATCGTCATGGCTTCGAAGTTGTCTAGCCTTTATGGATTTTCTTCAACGTATCTGATAACTTCGGTTTGCCAAAGCTGGCATCTCTTCTTGTTTTTCTTAAAATTAAGAAACCACCAATGCATTGCGAATCGACTTTTTTACAGCTCTAATTATTTATGTTAGATCCCTCCTTAAATTCAATAAATTGTTAGTTTTTTGATAAGGTTGGACATTTTTATCTAAATTTTCACGATTGTTCAAGATAACAAAAGTAAAAATAACGGCCAGAATAAAAAAATAGTTTGTAGAACGATCAAATATGTATTTAGTCTGATTGCTCACTTTGGCAAATAAATAAATAATTTTCATCATCACAACTGTTATCATACATTTCCCCGGACTTTAATGCCACACAATGTTTGTGATCGTATTTCGGTCGCTTACTTGCCCAACTAAAGTATGGTGCAGGTTTCCCGGTGAGACTGGAAACGAACGTTTTTATATTCCTGTTTGAGTTGATGTCTATCCAATAAGCAATGTCTGAATCGAGTTTTTGTTTTATTTTCTGAAGCTCCGTCGAATCTTTGATTGTGGCCAGGTGTCCACCGAATCGACGGCATTTGTTCGATGCACCATACCAATTGAGCTTACCATGGCTTTCAATGTAGAAGTACCTCCTGCCAATCTTTTCAAACGGCTTTGGTGGGGGTTGAGAAATTCTTTTTAAAGAAGGATTTGAAGAATTTTCAGGTTCCTGTTCAACTACTCCCTTTTGAGACTTCATTGCGTCCCGTAGCGCCTTAAGTTCGATTTCCGTTTTCATATGTAGCGCATCTAACTGACCTACTAGCGCTTCCTTTATCCTGTCTAGTTTTTCCAGATCTTCAGTTTGTTTCCCAGCGGTATATCTGAACCACTGTTGCTGGTGTGTGGCAATCTGATCAAGCAAGCTTGGCTCGTATTGAGCTCGGGTTCCCCACAGTCCGCAAACAGTGAAGAGCCATAAAAAAAAGAAGTTCCTCAACATATTGAATATATAAGACCTGTGAGACCCAATCCTCGTTACTAACTGCTTCTCGGTTTGTTGCAGCTCCTACGTATGTGATAAACCGTAGCGAATTCCGTTTGCAACCATATAATGAAAATATGCATGACCGAAACTTTATCAACGTATGTAAATGTCATCAAATGAGAAGCTGATTTTTTTCTGTGGTGTTCGATCTATATAGCAAAATAAAATTCCGCGATCGCTATTAAAGCGGAAGAGTTATCCTTGATACCCGCACATCAACCTTTTGTGTCGACAAATCTTGATGTAATATTTTTTCACTAAAGTTAACTGTCTCTTCGATTTTTATACATTTCTATTTTAGCTTACAAAACTTTGGACAAGATTTTTACTCTGGGAATTTTTTGTTTAAAACTGATAAATATTGCTTTTAAAGGTATGCAGTCGCAAAAAAAAAAAAAACTTGCTGCAGAAAAGTTTTACCATTTTTTAAATGCACTGTTTTAGATATTAGTTTAGATAAAAAATCAAAAAGAATTTATGAATTGAAAATTTATTTATTCACATTTCTAATTTCCCCTGTTCATAAGATTGGACATTTGGATTAGAACCAGGATCTGATCAAGATTATCAAAGCTAAAAAATAAGGAGCAGAATATTTAAATTCCACTCGCAAACATAAACTATATATAGTCTCATTGGTCACTTTGGCAAATAAATAAGGATTGATCAAAACAATTTTCATCGTACATAAGCATGTTGTATAGATCTACACAAGCAACATTTTTGTTATTCGGTTGCCCAGTACGCCAATTAAAGAATGGTGGCTTCTCGCCGGTTCGTGAGGAAAGAAACGTGCCACTTCTGGCCATTGAGTTCATGTCCAACCAAAATGAACGGCTAATTAAGGCTATTACAAGCTCTTAGTTTCTCCATATCGTTGATTGTAGCCAGATAACCTCCGAATCGACGACATTTGTTAAATGCAGCAAACCAATTTGCGGGATCATGTTTTTCAATGTAGAAGTATCTCGAACCAATCTTTTCAAACAGATTTGAAGGCGGTTGTGATACTCTTTGTAAAGAAGAATTTAAAGGTTTCGGGTCCACAATGGCTTTCTTTAGTTCTTCTATATCCGCCTTCATTCTGTCTATTTTCGGTTTGATTTCTGCCTCCATAACGTCCCGAAGCGACTGTTGTTGGATTTCTGTTTTCACCTGTTGCGCCTGTAGTTGGCCTTCTATGCCTTCCTTCAGTCTGTTTATTTTTGCATGAGTTTCAGCCTGATTTGCCGCTGTGTATCTGAACCACTGTTGCTGGTGCATGGCAATCTGATCAAGTAGGCTTGGCTCCTGGTTTTGAGCTTGGCTTCCCCACAGTCCGCAAACAGTGAAGAGCCATAAAAAATAGGAGTACCTCAACATATTGAGTGCTTAAGACCTGTGTCATCCAGTCCTTGTAACTAACTGCTTCTAAGTTTGTTACGGCTCTTTACGATATGACAAACCTCATCGAATTCATTTTGCAAATAAAACCTGAAAAAATGCATTACAGAAACGTTACTAACATTTAAAAGCAGTTTTTGTGTTAAAATAGTTTAATTATAGATTGGGATTACAACAATTTGGATTATAATTTCGGATTGTACGCCACTATTTCAGGGCCTCTTTATGCGGTACCCAAACCTTAGCCAATGCAGACTCCTAAGCCGATGCAGGCACCTTAGCTAACGCAAGCTCCTAAGTCGATTCAGGAACCTTAGCCAATACGGACACCATTAATCTAGCTCCATATTTGAGTAACGGGTATCTGATAGTCGAGACACCCGAATATAACGTTCTCTCCTGTTTTCTTATGGAGAACATTAGCAACATCCACTTGGAAGGACCCAAACTAGCCAGGATCTCCCCTCGAAATGGACGCAATTTCTTGACCCTCCGGACGAATAGGAGATTTGCGGCTGAGGCACGTAGGGCGAATAAATTTTGTATGACATTGCTGGGCATTCGGAACCTGGGGACCATGAGGCGGTATCCTTGACTCCTGGAAAGAACTAAGTATGAAGAGGCTGCCATCAAAGCAGCGCAAATTTGTAACGGTAATTTAGCCAGGGCGTCCACCGGATTTCAGTCTTTTTTTTTTTTTTTTTTGTTGAAATAAGACTGCTAAGTAATCAGGACCATATTTCACACAACGACTATAAAACAGACATGGACACGCCCACTTGGTAAGCAACCATTGCACATCCCCGGGGGAAACGAACCCCAATCGGCCGCCCCATCCATTAGATGCCAAATTGAATTAAATGTAAAAATCTTTTGCACGCAATTGAGAAATGGAAAAGTGCAAAACAAATTTATAGACATAAATATGAAAAGAGAGAGGGAGTGGGATGGCTAAAAAGAGGGGGGCTAAAATACTTTTCAGTACTTTTACGACTTCCATAGAAATTAAAATGCCATTTAATGCTGGCAGAATATAAATTAAATGGCCGCATTTCGTTGCCGTTTTATGTTTATTTCCTACGGTGTCCCAAGCTCAAATCGAGGTCCTGACTAAAGATGAGGCTCTGCAGCGGAGCGATTTGCCGGTAAATTGAATTGGCATAAAGACAAGCCGAGAGTCCGGCCCAATCCACCGAGTCTCTCAATTTGTTAGCCCCAACACGCCAATACTATCGAGTCCTGTTCCGTTTTATAGCTGCAGATTTATACCCGATGCGAGTCTGCAGTTCGACCGGAGTCAAAAACCGTGCGATTGGGTACTATAGTTGACTTTGTCGATCGGGCGGGTCTGTCCTGGAGTTTACTTTGTTGTCAATTGTTTATGCCATTTAAATTTGTTATGCCCATTTTATGTCTCTTTGTGGTTTTATGGCCAAACTTTTATTTATGTCTTTCCCTCGCTCGACTTTTCGGTCACGCCAATTGCATTTGATTAGATTTTGTCTGCTTAGTTGAGCGCCGAAGATGAGTTTGCCGCGTTGGCGGGGAAACATGAGTAATGCGGTTATTGTTCTTATTTATGGCTAATTAATTTCAGCAATAAACCTACTAAAAAAAAAACCCTGCACAATGAGGTTTTAATTGACAAATACATTATTTTCTGTAGGCTTGACATTTTTTCTAGGTCACGTTCGAAAAAGCCGGCGAAATGGAAAAGTTTGTAGGAATGACCATCCACATTTACCTGTCTAAATTAGATATTGCAGTTGGCAGTGTGATTCGGCCAGATAATGGTGACCTGCTGTGTTGATTTGTGACGTTTAAGAAGATTTATGGTCACTTTTCGCCAGCAAATGGCAATCCAACTCCTGAGCTGGCTTAAACGGAAACTGCAACGGTGACGGGGTTTAGTAAGGCGATTTCAGACTGGCGAATGGCCGAAAGTCATTAAGTTTGCGCATCCTTGGAAAAGCAGTAAGATTTTCTCACAAGAAACTGTGCTGAACCAATTTTTTTTTGGTAATGTGTAATTCTGCTTAATTATTAACTAAGCGAGAACTTTTGAATGTGTTATTTTATAACAATAAGAATTGGAAAAGTTTTTTTTTTGCAATCGAAAAAAATTTCTTATTATGTATATCACTCCTTTATTAAATAAAAAATAAATAAAATAAATTTTTACCTTAAACTAAAACTTAATTTTCTGATTTTTTTAAACCCAGATTAAGATTTATTTTCAAAACTTAGGTCTTTGAAGTAGCAAAAATACAAATTTTTATTAAAGGCAGCCCTTGAAGCAAGATTTTATAAATTCCTATTCCGAAAAGCCACCTTCAAGATCCGTCTAAGGGCGCCATAAATATAATTACAGTTTCATTTCCGTTCCAACTCGAAAATGGGAATTTGGCCAGCAAGCGACGACTTGGCTCAGATGGAAACACGTGGCGCATCAGGCCACGTAATTTCTCCTCTTCTACGAAAGGCCATCTGCTTATAAATTGAAGTCATTCACTTTGGATTTAGTTTTCACGTCACTGTATGTCCTTGGTTTTAGCTTGGGTAACTAACAATGTTAAAGTAAGAGAATCATTTAAAACTTATTTAGCAAACGAAATAGAATTGAATATTAATTAAGAAGACTTCGATTTCCAAGGTTTTGGTATTGCTAATATTTGATTCTTCCACTTTATTGTATAAATATAATAGTAAAAGTCTGAGAAGTATTACTTTAAATTTAAATTTGAAGGGACTTTCTTGAAGACAAACACCAAACATTTTCTCTACCTTTTTGGCCAAGTTTGTGCCACTACTTCATCAACTTGAAGCCAACGTAAACGCCGAAAGCCATGCAGCAGCAAAAGAAGCTGCATCGCAGCTTTTCGGCATCGAGTTTTCCATGGGGATCGCACCAGAGCAGGTGGAAAATGTGGCGGCAGAATTGGGCAAAAGATCGAGGTCTTTGTCTAATTTCTTCGAGTTGCTCCAACGCCTCCTCATCGCTATCGTCTCGCAGATCCACACGGCCCATCAGTTCCAGCACTCCATCATCCACTCGTGTTGGCACCTCGCTTAGGTAGTTAATAGTTTTTAGTTCCCGCTCCTGCAGAAGGTCCTGTTCGGTGGTCCGCTCCCCCTCGGGAATCCGCTCGTCCCCCGCTTCCTCCCTCCGTTGCCACCACCAGCGAAAGCGGCGTTTTCGATCCGCAGAAGGCGTTGTTCGAGCCATGGGAACTTGGTGGGTGAACTCATAGTAAACGCTGGGAACGCTGGTAAAACTATCAAAGGGGCGAATTTCTTTCTGGGATTCCGCATCCGTTCCGTTGAGCATCCTCTCCATTTTCCGGAAATCATAGGGATAGGGATGAACATAGGATTCCAGCGGTGCCTTCTGAATTTTCTCATCCTCTGAAAGCTCGGAGAGCGTGTCCTTTTCTAGTTCCTCGGAGAAAGGATCATCCAAATCCTGTTGAAGTGATTCTTCTGGCTCTTCTTCATCACAACTTTCGGTGGAATTATCCTCTTGATATCTTTTCTGATATGCATCTTTACCATTATATCTATCAGATTCTTTTATAGAACCTTCAGTTTCTCCGCCCCGAAAACGGCTAATAGTATCACTTATTCTCGATCTGATGTCCATTACTGTCTCCAGGGAGAAGGGCATCTTCAAGCCCAGAAAATGGTTGTCATTATTATTTGTCTTTTGGAATTGCTGCCGCCAACTGATATACCGACTTGGTTCGCGAACAGGATCCGGACGCTCCGAGCGATATTGGAATGCCGAAGAAGGAGGCGGCGGACCACGCACATTGGATGAACCTACAGGTGGCCAGTAAGCCTGAGGCCGATTCTGAGGTAGTGTATTCAATACACCATAGGGGTTCCTTGCCGGCAGGTATGTCTGGAAGTTACTTGGGTTCCGCTGCTCCTGGGCAAACTGCTGTTGTGCTCGGAACTTGGCCCTCTCTTCGATCATCGCTACATGAAGACGGCGCTCTGCGATCTTCCGATTCTGCGGGGTTATGGGACCCAGATTTACTTGGTAAGTCCGTCCCATCATGGTCAACTGGGCATCTGAGAGGTCACGGACCATCTGACATAAGGGACGCTCCTTGTACGCACCATTTTGAAGCATGGCTTCCGATGGTCTACAGCGACTTAGCCAATCCTTTGAGCATAATTTGGACAATAAACTCACGGAAAATTTTTATTGCTAGGTTAAAATATTCAGGCTATATCCCTTAAATTTTCTTTGTATTATCTTATTTGCTGTCAATGAATTGAAATTGTCAATTTGGACTAGAAAAACAAGGTATGTGTAGGCTAAAAGTTTATAATATTTTTGCAGTTATCCTGATCTTTACTATGTATTTTAAAATATAACTTTATTCCGCAATAAACAATAAATCTGGAATAAAGAAAAAATAATTAAATAATCGATACACTGACCGTACAAACTTATGGCTCTGAAAAAGAAAAAGTTGAAAAGTCATCGAAATACACTTGCTCTTTTGTTTGCATTTTTTTTCATTTTATTATATTTGTTTGTTTTTATGACTGCTTGCATTTCCATGCTCCAATGGCATTTGTCCCCTTTGGATATTTTATTTTGTGTTTGGAGTGCTTTGTTTTGTGCTATGGCCTTTTTAGAGGCAGTTACTTTTTGGGGAAGGGTTTCAAAACAACAGGGACAGATGGGACACTAAAAAGATCAAAGGGGTGGCAACTTTAAAGAGGGATTGGAAAAATGTTTTTAAAGTTATTGTTTTTCACCAAAACCAATTTCCCTAATGAAATTTCTCTCAACATTAAAGGCTAATAGAATAGATTACGTTGGAACATAGTAGTTTTGAAGAAACTAATTTCTTTAAAGCTGTATTTGGAAGCCACTTAGCTTAATAGGAAAAACAAAATTAATAATTCAGAGCTGCATAAAAAAATGTGGCAAAAATTATTAAATACCTAATAGTTGGAAAAATTGTAAACTTTAACGCTCCACCTATATTAAAGCTAATGACAATTTCAGTAAGCTTTATACAAAGCAAGCTCCGACTTTTTCTTCAACCATTTGCACAGTGCTTCTCAAACCTATTAAACTTAGTTTTTTGGGTAACGTTTATAAAATATGTATCTTTTGGTAATCCCATTCAAAAACAGATAAGTATGCCTTCAAAAATAATACAAGAGAATTTCGTTTAATATTCATAAAGTTTTATTAGTAAACATATATTTAGACTACGCACAACTACAAACATTTTGATGATTCGTAACCTAAAAATTCTCCTTTTTGGCGAAAAGCATGGCAAACATTGAAATATTTTATGTGTTTTATTGGCTTTCTTGTGTACTTATATCTGTCCCGTGGGTTTTTGCAATAGTGTGTCCTAATTTATTTATTTATTTATTTATTTTAATAATATGTAATAAATAATTTGATACTCGTATAAATTGACTGTACGTCTGATTGTAGCACTCTATTATTGTCATTCAAGAATTCGATTTCCACGCTTTAAATATAAATATTTCCATAAAGATTTATGTATGTATACTTAAGCTATTAAGTATTTACAAAGCTCAACTATGAACACGAACTTGTAACGGCATTTGAAAATCTGATTCGATTTGAATTGTTTCTGGTTTTTATTTGTTAGTGTGTTAATAAATATTTTTACTATTTTATACTTGTCTTTGTAAATTGTTTTGCTTGGCTTTGCTATGTCAAAAAGTGTAAATAATGTTTAACAAATACTAGATACGAATCTCAACAATTTGCGACCTAATCAAATGCAATTGCTTAATGTTGGGATTGTTTGCTTGGAATTGACTAATTTAAACTCTTCGATTTTAATACTAATCGTATGGGAGAATGTAATGCAAATTTGAACTCAATTTAATATAATTATATTTAAAAATTATTTACAGCTTGAAAGTATCTCTAATTTAGACGATAAATGTTCTTTTGTTTTCATCTTAAATCTTATTTCTGTTCTCGATCTTTAATTTTGGGAAAAACAAACTAGTTAACGAATGTGTCACTTAAATTCGTTGCTGGCTTAGTACTTGTACTCTGGCAGAACTCTAGCCTCTGCCAGAGGAGCTGCTTCAAAATAATCAATCTGGAAATTAGATGCGACTTGGTCACCCAAATAATCCGTAAACAAGCTTGATGACTCCGCCCCAGCTTCGATTCGATTTGATGCGACTCTGCGACTCCTGCTCCCCTTAAAACTCCTCGTCGTCGTAGTCATCGCTGTCGCTATCGTTGCTGGGAAGGATGTGGAAACATGCCCACAGCCGGGACATGTCCACTCATCGTTTGCGGTTATAGGCGCCAAGCGAAGACTGCCTTCATTCCTTCATCTCGTGGCCATTGGGTCCCAGCTCGAGGAGCTCATGGGGCTCGGCGTTCAGCTGGGGGAAAAAGGGGGTAATAAGACAGTACAAATTTAAGTAAACTTAGTCAATGTAAGCCTTCCCACAAATCTTTTTTATCGCGATGGTATTCAACACATGTTATTAACTAATTTACACGCTTCTAATAATGCATTTATCCAAACTTTTTTACTCTTCAGTTCTTTAATACGTTTGTTTATAATCAATTAAACCTTTTTACCATATATTTATAGATACTTCTCTGATTTTCACTTACCCTATCCACGCTGGCCAAATCGTTCTTCGACAGATGATTAACCAAAATAGTGCCCAGGGCATCACACATCACATTGATGGTAGTGCGGAAGCGATCCCTAAAAGAGATTAGGATTTTTAACACCATATTTCCTAAATGTGTTTCCCTCAACTTACAGTAACCAATCGACAGCTATAATGAGGGACACATCCTTCGGCTCCAAGCCCACAGTATCCAGCACCATGACCATTGTGACGAGTCCTGCCTGTGGGATTCCTGCAGCTCCGATCGAGGCTGCCGTGGCCGTTATACTTACGGCCACGATGGTTCCGAAGGAGTAGCTCATCTCACGATATTGGGCAATGAAAAGAGCAGCCACAGCCTCGTAGAGAGCCGTTCCATCCATGTTAATTGTGGCCCCCACGGGAATTACAAAGCGAGTGACTCGCGGATCAATGCCCATGTTGTCCAGACATTTGATAGTCAGTGGCATGGTGGCCGAGCTGGATCCAGTTCCAAATGCGGTGGCCAAAACCTGGCTGAGCTTGGCAATAAAGCGGTACGGAAGTCGTCGGGTTCCCAAAAAGAAGATCACAGCAATTGTGCCTAAAAAAAAAAAAAGAAATAATAATGTACCAATAAATTTAATGATAATATTGTTTATTTTTATTTTCGTAAGCACTTACCGAAACCATGCAGAAATAGACCTATCATAACCGTTATGAAATACCATCCCAATGATTGAATGGTCGCCGCTATCGAGTCCATCTCAATGATCTTGGCGGCGATCAGAAAAGCCACTCCCAACGGGGAAATCCTTAAAAAGAAAAGATTGTTACTTTCAAGTAAACTTTTTTATAGAAGAACTCCCATTTACCAAATAACCCACGAGGTGATGGTCATCATAGCCTCGCTCAAAGTGGTGAAGAAATCCTGCAGCAGTTGACCCTTCTCTCGCATTCTGCCAATGGTGGTACCAAGAATTACACTGAACATCACAAGGCCAAGAACATTGGAGCCCTCGCGTTGGGCAGACTTGAACTCCCAGTTTTCCATGGGTTCTGTATGAGTAGACATCGGAATAAGTTTGGTAGTAATCCTTAATGGGGAATGTTATCACTTACGTGCTGGACTAATGCTAGTATTTTCAAAGATCTCAGTGCGGTCCTAAAAAAGGTGTAAAAACATTTTATATTATTTTGTTTCAAAGACAACGAGGTCAGAAATCATAAACAAAAACAAAAATTTAACTAAATGGCGTGGTCTTTACTCGACAGACCTTAATAATTTGAACTTAATCATTGGCATTTCAACGATTTTATATAATAAGTCGTTATTTTATTATTTAATTTTTTTAATAATCCACAAATTGGTAACTGTGTCCGACTAACTTCGTCTAACATTATTAATAGATTTTTATGAGCCGCAGACGCTTTTCAGTGTTTTTTAATGTTAGATTTATAAAATGGCATAATCTGGATTAGTGAAAATTTGTTTTGTCTGTTATATTCCCTGATTGAGTCAACAATAATCTAATTGGGCGCATGAATATTCAGTTGGTTGCCTACCTACATCAACATACCCACGTACGAGTACGAGAATGTGCATATAATTATGGAGGTACAATGTCCACGTATCTGCGACTGCCCGAGCTAAGTACTTTGATTCAATTTGCGTCTGGGGCCTCCTAAACCGTGTTGATACGACCGCTTTCCTCTCACTCTCTCCCTGATTCACAAGTGGGCATGCGATAATTGAAATTTAAGCCCCGAACACTTGTGTGAAATCCCCCTACTTGAATGTGGTCGGTAATTGAAATTGTGGTATCCCTATCATGTCACTTTTGATTATGTGTCGCGCTTTGTTTCAATCAAAATCTGGCTAAACCGCGAAAAATTGAACAATTGCTACCAATGTTGGTTCCCATCCAAATCGCTGTTCAACAGTGCGTATGACCGATGCGCCTTCGATCGAGAGAGACTCACCTGGAACATGGTCGACCGGATGATGTTGTCCGTGAACATGTTTCTATTGGGAAAGATAAAGTGAGTCAGAGTGCGGGTTCGGTTATCAGCAGATCCCCACATACCGCACCAGGTCCATCAGCGTGTCTGGGGTGAGCACCTTGGAGGCCTTGTCGATGGTCTCCGTCTGGGTTTCCACGATCTTGGCTCCCTGGCCGGGACGCAGTGTGGTCACCAGACAAATGCCCAGAATGACGGCAGAAATGGTGGTTACAAAGTAGTACGTAATGGCTCTGAAGGGATAAGTAATAATTCATATTAATAAATCGTTGTGCCATTACAATATATTTCATTTTACGAACTCACCTGGTGGCAATCTTACTGGACATGCTTAAATCAAGGCCACCAATAGCGCTGGTAATCGAGGACACCAAAAGCGGTACAATCAAACATTTGAGCATTCTGAAAAGAGATTTTATTTATTAACTCGTTTGCAGTTATAAAACATAGTCAAATTTTGGAAATAGTTATTTTTTAGCTAATAAGCTGAAGGAATTTTCCATTAGTCATTTCAAAGTTAATTCCTTTTTAATTTTTTTACGTCGCAATTATTTTCTTTGCATATTTATGAGTAAAGAAAACTGTGGTTTTCCAAGATTGACGGATTTTGAGTATAACTTACCTCAAGAAGATCTCGCCGGGGAAGGATATGTACATGATCTCTCGCTTGGACCACTCGCCCGTGCTGTTTTTGATGATGAAGCCGATGAGTCCTCCCACAAACACACCGATAACGGTGGCCATGGTAAGGACATTCTCCTGCATGAAAGCTTTGAATTTGCCGCCATCCTGCTTGGGTCGCGTCATTGTGACGATCCTTGGATAAGTTTAGGGTCTGAAGAACCCTGGGTCCTGCTGGAAACCCTCCTCTCGCACTTTCACGTGCGTTTGCCAGTCGTTCCGTCGTCCAAGCCGACCTTCTGTCCTAAAAGTTCAGGCAGCCTAAAATAGGGTCTAATAGAAAGACATTTTTAAATATAATTATTTAGGAAATTGTAACATTAAAAAAAAAGTTCTTATATAACATTCCATTTTCAGTAATAATAATTATTGTTTACCATTAATGTTTGAATATTTTCAGGAGAGAGCACCATCTGACTTTTTTCTGTATAACATTAGCAAATTTCTGAATAAAATATGAAGCTAGTTTTTAGATGGTACAGATGCTTTCAAGGGGTTAAACAGTAGCGCTTCCTCCTCACCGGGCGAACAGCGATCGACGACTGAGCTTTCGCACAAAGCAGATATTTACAACCCTAAAACGAGTAAAGTCGGGCAGCTGGGCTTTTGTGATTTATGTTCACCCCTTTTACCTCCAACCTCCGATTTCGGAGGGGTGTTACTTTTGACACGAAGCCGGACGGATGTTGTTCAATGTTGGAAATGTTTCGGAATACTTTACAGAACACTTTTCGAGTGCAACGAGCGGAAGCAACAGCTTAGTTCTAAAAAACAAAACTCAAACATTGCTGAACAATTAAGAAGTTTGCGCCTGCTAATAGCAGTTATTTAGCATTGACACTTTTCCCCATTATGCACAAATGTGTTAAAAACAACAAACAATCAGCGATAAACAGCAACCAATTCCTAGAAGAATGCAGCTCAATTAATCGAAGCTGGGAAACGTGTCAAACTAATAAATTTACATAAACGATCGAATAATGAAAACAAATTTATGTCTTGAGTGGGTGCAAGGGCAATATGCAAACCGGTGATCAATGATCTAGACAGATAAATAGAAGTGGAGTCCGTTTCAGTTCTACAAAATATATAAAACAAATTGACACCGTTTCCATCATGGTCATCACAATATCCTCGCAATTTTGGATTAATCAAGAAATCTTTGCACTTCGAAATTGCTTAGCCAATTGTGTAACAATTGACGAGGAGACAACGAGAGATTAGATCGCTGCGAGCACTTGAAATAGTAGATGTAAATTAGAGGGGTGACTAAATAAGTGGCAAGAAGCTCTTAGTTAGATTTAAGGGGAGGTTCTTTTCTTTTTTTTGAAAAAATTGATTTTTTTTTTTTTAATAAAATGAAAGTTACATATGTTTAGAATATACGTGCCAAAGGATATTTCGATACGACGCGTATTTCTTGAGCTAGAGCGTGTCAAACATACCTATGTCACATGCGCTGTGGTACGCTCTAAAAACTTAAAACGCGTTTTTCTCGGAACCATGTTTTCAAACCTCTTGTCGCGCACAGGAGTCGTTCTATTGATCCGATTTCCTTCATTCAAAAAATTTTTGAAAGTATATACTTTTTTGTATGCCTTATACCTAAAATTGGCATAAAAAATTGTTTATTTATAATTTTTAAACGGGATCGAAGTAAAAAAAAAAAAGTTCATTTTTTTTAAATGTCCATAAAATTGGTTTATTTTTACCAAAATTGATTCTAGTTAGGTATAAGGCATAGGAAACTCCATCAATTTTAATAAATAATTTACATTTTTAATTTCGGTTCACTACCAGCGGCCCGACACTCGACAAAGCAGAAAAATAGAGGTCTACGAGATCCGCCATTTTGAAGCCGCCATTTTGAATTTCCTGAATACTAAATTTTTTTTTAATCGTTAATAAACAACGAATCAAAAGTTCAAAAGCATAAATTCGTATGTCTTTTCATTTTTCCGCAAATAATTCTCAAAGTTTGCTTAATTTTCGAAAAAAAAGAAAAGAACCTCCCCTTAATGAAATAAAAGTCTAGGGCTTGAAATGAAAAGTGACAATTTGTATACATGCGTAAGAGTTTTTTTTAGGAACTTTAAGAAAACTACATATAGTATACTATTTTCGTTAATTTTATGACAGATTTTGAGAGGGGACAAAACAAAAATATTTACAGCGCTTAGAAAATGAAATTGCCATTTTAGAAATACATATGTCCAGGGGCGCACAGAGGGGGAGCCAAAGGGGGAAATTTCCAACTCAACCACAAGATATATTAGAATTATAGGGTATCGTCAGTATCGACTATTCCTCAGATCTTTCACCATTTCACCCTAAGCAATGAGATCACTGATCGCAATTGTCTGGGTGCTCCACACCCTTTGGAAAAGCGACGCGATGATAATGCCATTATGTGTGCGATGTTCTCGGTTCGGTCGGTGGACGGTGGTCGGTATATGCGGTTCTCCTAATTGATGTAACTACAGAACGAGACTGTTCCATTCTGAAACTGATTCTGAGTAAATGATTGGCATGTGCCCAGGTCGTTTGTAAGGTGAAATCGGGGGGAAAGTGGGCTGAATTGGATGGACATTCCATTGATATGGATATTTAGTGAGTGCAGTGAGCCATATCAAATCATTCGTTTATCTCAATCATTCAATTTACAAACCGTTTAAGTTTCGCACTCCAAACTGAATTGGGTGAGAAGGTAGATGAACAGATAAGAATTCAATTTAATAGATATAGCGGAACTCGAGTGCACTTCGAATGCAGTTGCACTCGTGCTCAACTAAGCGAATTAATTTATAAAGCCGCGTTTGAATTTAATTGAATTGTCTTTGTCGACATTTATTAATGTATACAGCTATTTATTCATAATTTTCCATTTTGAACTTGACCGTGAATGAATTTGTTTACATGTTGCCGTAGACAGAAACTGCATTCGATGTAAATATGTGTACTTTGTTAAAAATGTGTCGCAATTGGCTGTGAATTTCAATTGCAGCGGAAGTTTCATTGAACGCTCAAGTTCATTGACAAAAGGATGGGTTTCACACCAAACGGAAGTTGTACCGTCGATGGAGAAGTCATAACAATTAACTGGAAACCTAAAACCCAATTTAAATTTAACCCTGTCGTGATCGCCGGTGAACTTGAACTTGTCTCAATTAATGAAGCTCGAATTGATTGGACCTATGATTCTTAACTATATTTCCAAAAAATCATACATAGTATTGTTTCCTTTTCAACAAGATTTCAGTGTATCATAAATATGAAAATCATCTTCTTTCCCTATTTGATTGACAGACAGTTTACATGATCGCAAATGCCGAACAAGTTTATTATTGTTGATAGTCAAACACAAATATGTATCCAGAGATGAATACTAATTAACGCGCTAGACTATGACTTATATAACACAGGAGTACTTTTACTACCCAGCTAATTAATGCAATGCAAACTGAATTCAGAGCCCATGTTCGAGGGCCAGCGAATTCATTGTCAATGCAAATTGATTTGCATTTGGCGGGTTAAGTCAGACAAAGGGGATGTATGAGGGGTAGAAAGCTGACCCACCCACTTGTCTTTGATGTGAGAAAATTAATTAAGAAAATGCCTAAGGAAAACCAGTTTAAGCTGATCTAAACGCAGTAAAAATGAATAGTATGTTAGTGTAATAAATGCAATTATCACTACCTATTTATTAGGTAGATGGTAAAAAAATATTTATTAGAGTTTGTTGTATTTATACTGAAAAGTGTATTAAGCAAATTTTAGTCTAACGAATTTGTATACTAAGTAAAATCTTATATAACAATATAACTTAAAAATTAATTTCTGTGAGTTATAGGACAAACACCTCAGATTATTATAAATGTGTCGAAATACCTCTAGTATATGCACTTCATATGTAAATATATGACGCTATAATCTCTACTAATCCGAAGGCCTCTGTCACCATAATCTATAGACTGACTGTCTGACTATCTCCAAACGAGAGCTTGGCATTTCCATCAAGTTTCACCTTATCAAGATCACTATAGTTCCGCGAAATGAAGAGTTTAGGCGCAATCAGCTCAACGTGATATTTCGGACTATCATAAATATGAGTTAATATCAACTTGATTCAACCTTTCAATTAAGAATTTTTTTCGAATATTTCCACGCGTCCATCCCATAAACATATTTTATTTAGGTGAGAAAATCTTCTCGCGAGGGAAGATCCGAGAATTTGCCAAATATAATTATTAAATATATATTTACTTATCACCTTAAAAATTATAAACACACAAGCCAATTTCTTTACTCATCTTCTCATTATTTTGGCGAGAGAGAACATAATGCTATTTTAGTGCACCGCGCAAATAAAGTGCATTGTGCGCTAAAAATAAAAGTAATTAAAAGAAAGCGAAAAATATACAAACGGTGGTAACTGTCTGACACGCCCCTGTCTATGCAAAAGTGGGTGGGCGTTCTGCCAAGGTTGTTCAGTATGTTATCAGCATAAGAAATCTGGCATTATTCACGATTCTCTCTTGGGCCTCAAGAAGAGTAAATCGATGAGATGACAAGTAAATAAATAAAAGGATATGACCGACTGCTTATACTTTTTGGTAGTGCAATGTTTACATACATACTTTTTGAACAATAACATGACATAATCAATATTAAACAAAAAAGTCTCGTAATAATAAAGTTCATTTTATGCCCGGTGAAAAAAAATTATACTCTCTCTCGCCGAAGGACACTCACTTGCAAATCATTACATATCGTAACTAGTTGATTATAGTCTAAGAACCCTTTGAAGGATCACACATATTGTTTCGTCAGCACAAATTTGTATTTGCCTGTTTTTAATTTCTTCTTAGCAACAGCAGTGGTTGTAAATTTTAATAGTTTTCATCTGCCAAAACAGCATTCTTCCGAGCACTTACAATCAAAATCATTCACAGTGCCGCAGGCTGGGTAAAACCCCGATGTATTTAAGAACCCTTGAGGCACGAGACCGAATTTATGAGCGGAGGATCGGAGAAGCGCGTTGTTCCGAGCACGCGGCGATATAGAAACTGACTAGTGATCAGGCAGTGATCCCACACACCGATTCCGATTCCGATGCCGATCTGGTCTAGTCGGTTCTGCTTGCAGCGACAGTAGAACCTGACTCGTCGGTTTGTAAAACAGTACTAGAAACTAAATCGAAATCAAATTCGAAATATAGCCAGCTACCGCGCAAATTGCTCGGCGACAGCGCCGTCGACGTTGGCATCAGTTTAGCGGGTGTGTGTTTCTGTGTATGAGTGTGTGTGAATGTTGTGGGGGTTGACTTTCATTCATCAAAAGCCGCTGCCGACTGCGTTGCCTTCGTCTCATAGCATTTCACGTAACGCATACGCAGCGTTGGCCGCGTAATTTGTCGCGCCTTGTTTCGCTTTCCCTTGCTGCACAAGGAGTGCAGTGAAAGGAACTCATTACGGTAGTTCAGTATCTTGGCTTCCACTTTCGATTACTTCCTCGCCATTAGAGGCTGCATTGTGTGTCCGAACTGCACTGATCATCCTCGCATTGTGGTTAATGGCAATCAGGGGATTTTCCGGCCGACCCAAGGTCTTCCTCCGTTCTAGATAAAAGAAAGCAAGATTCTGTTTAGATCTGGTTTATTATTATGTCACAACAAGCTCGCCCTATAAGTGGGTCAAGTTTGTGCGTATTACCCAATCCCAGCAATGATTACACCTCAAAATAATAAAGATCGCGACAAACCACCCCGAAAAAGAGCGAGAACAATGGTCATAGCCATGGTCTACTTGAACCTGATTGAGTGTGCCCGGAATACAAAGGCCAGGAATCTAAGGGAACCAGCAAGAAAGTGGGACTGAGTCCTAAGTTGACCGAAAGAATGTTAGTCGAGCGTTTCCGGTTTCATATTCGTCGTATCATAATAAATATCAACGGCAGAAATAAAGCAATAAAAATCACAGCTGCAGCTGCCTTTGATCTGCTTCAATTCGATTTGCCTTGGGGGCCAGTTCCAGTTCCATGCTGGTGGGAAACGAGTGTGGTATGTTCTAGCTGCGAAAGAGAAGGCCGGAGGATGGGATGCTGCTAAGTGGCGAGCCACAGTCGCCAGCGGCTGTAGTGGTTCGTAGTCCCTAAACGTGGCATTTGGGGATGCTGCCTCCCCGGCCCACTTGGTCCGCCCCTTCGGATGGGTCAGCGCTTTCTCATGTGGAGAGGTGAGGTGCTGCCCTGGTGGGCACACAACACACACATTCGGACCGGAACTGTCGATCTTCATTTTTGACACTGGAAATTTCAGAAATCACACACCAGCACAGAATGGTGAGGTTGCAAATTGCACACCAATCGCGTGTTGCTATGTTGTGGTACAAAAATAACTAAATAATTAGATACGAGTATCTGTGTTGGTCGACCCAAGCTAATTCAGAAAGTGCCTAGTAATGAGGATGAGCCTTTGGAGGGGGCTCAAGAAGTGATCGAGTTAAAGGCAGCTTTATCCATCCTGGTTTGGGATTAAAGTAAGAACAGGCAACTGGGTTTGCAAAAGAAACTAACTGTTGCGATCTAGTCATAAATAATTGACCCAAAATTAATTTTCTTAATGGCCAAACTTTTTTTTTATATCTGAAAAAAGTCTTACCTTCTCCAAAATAAAATCCAATTGCAATCAATGTAGAAACCAGCATTTCTCTACCAAATATCAATTGAATTGACCGGACATAATCATTGCCTGAAATCAAAATGGTATTCTTAATTTACTGATTACAAAAACATAAAACCATGTCATACTTACCCAGCTTCAAAATGTGTCATATATCATCTGAAAACTGCAAACCCATTTCAATACTTATTATAACCAACCTTTAGCAAGTAAAACAAATACATTTGATCGATTTGGAAACACTTTAAACAATCAACGCCTCAAGCTTCTCCATACATTAAACATATTTATTTTAAGTTCATTATATTATGTGTAAACATATGTATTATTGATTAAGAATTTCAAGATCACAAATCAGATTTCATTTAAGCTTATAAAAAGTGAGCAAAATTCTTCTTTTCGCTTCCGTTTCGAAATGGCAACATAAAATATGGTAAACTTTGAGGAACAACGAGGAATAAATAAGGAATACAACCTCGTTCGAATCTCCCAAGACTATGAAAATGGCAAAACTAAGCTTTAGCTCTAGGTGCTATTTTAAAAGGAGGTAAAGACAGTTGAAACATCATTAAAAAAGAATATTACGAAGCATGCACAGTTTAAAAAGTAGTTTCTAGAGGGATTCGTGCATGAATACCTATATTGAGGATGATGTTGATGTTTGTGCAACAGTTGGTTGTTTCGCAGCAACCACCACCACCGCCAATACAAACTATCGGCAGCAGCTGCCGGATATATAGGTATGTGGGGTATAGGCTATGTGGCAGGGGTGTGGGTATAGGGGTATGTGTATCTGTGATGCAGTTGTTGTTGCGAGCGGCTATTCCGTTTTGGGGCGTCGAAATAGCAGGATGTGGGGCTCCGGTTTATGGATCATGTAGTGGATCCATCCGCGGGACTGCTGCACCCCAATGGATCGCCACTCGGCCTCCGTCATCAGATGGGTTTTGGGCACCATTTTCACCAGTTCCTTGGGCAAAACCACATGTCTGCGGGACGAGGGGATTTTACAGTTGCTTGGCTCCATGTTATTATTTGGTTTGTGGCACCCACCTGTATTCGAACTGCTCGTCGTAGTACTTGTCCGAGTAGTAGATTTCCTTGCTCATGGTATCGGTATGCTACCTGGTATGTGATGGAGTTACGGACTAATGGAATTCGCAGCGCAAGGGTGCAAAATTTGGCGTCCTTTTTTGGACCGGCAAAAGCGGCTTCTTCGGATTCAAACCGTTCAACTTTCCGCAAACACTGAATGATTGGGTTAATACTGCAACTGCTTTTTTGGGATATGTTTTCTAGTTTCTATCACAATTGGGTTCGCTTTTCATGCCCAAATTTACGTTTGAAATATTTTAAATCGAAAAAAAGTGACGCGCTTAGAGCTGGAACTCGAGGTGAAATCTTTATTCGATATTATCGACAACCCGCGCGGTCGGCAATACATACCAAAAATACTAAATTGTGTTCTTACAACCGATGCGTTAATTAACACTACTGGTCTGTTTCGTTTGTAGACGCTAGGTGTCGCTTTTATAGCAAAGAAGTGTAAAATTGTCCGTTATGCTTTAAATAAACGTAAATAACAAAATTGGTGTAAACTGTATGTTTTTAAAAAATGGGTCTCAATTGAACGTTCCTGGATTCTATCTTTAAAAATTCAAATGTTTGTAGTTATGAAAAAAAAAAAAATTATAATAAGCTTATCATATTCTTCTTAACCAAACGCAACATGTCCATTTCTTCCAAAGTAACAGCAAAACAACTACCAGACAAAACTAATGGGCCAAAATTTGAGCACATGGAATATTTCCCACACAAACTAACAGCAAGCAGCAAACATAAATCCTCGGGTTAAATAGACTGACCATTTCGAGCCGCCCCCTGCCACGCCCCCTGTCTGCGTGGAAAACCCTAAAAGGCTTCTTCAGACACATAAATTCGGTAGAATGGTCAAAACGAAAGGCAGAGGCGTTGGCTCTCAACTCCTGCGAAATCTTAAATAAATTTCGCGGTGCGGACATCCAAAGTGGAATGCAACCAACGCAATGCAACCAGCCAAAAAAACAAAAAAAAACGATTCGCAGGCAATTGTTGAATTATTGGTGGTGAAATGCATTTACTTAACGGCGGGAACATTTAATGGCTGCGTTCGTAATACTGCGGCGGGATGAAGACCCAGTTCTTGGCCAAGTCGTTGATGGCCTCCTGCATCAGCCGGGATAATATATCTATAATGTGGCTGAAAGTACGAAGAGAGATTTCAGGTTTATAGATAAGTTAATTAAAGATAAAATTCATATTTTTGGTAAAAATATATAAGATAATAAAAAATTGACATAAATATGAATTTATCTGCTTTAATTTATCAACGCAAAACTTTAAATTCATATAAAAAATATAATTCAAAACTGGTTGATATTGAAAGTTTTATAAATTAAATTTTATATATGCATTTTAAATAAAAGAAAGGAATAAAATATTTTATTAAAAACGAATTGTTTGTGAAAGATGGTTATCTTTTAATTAATACTACTCTGAAAAGTCAGTATCTCGTCTGAATCATACTCAAGTTATTGATTAAAAAACCTTAAAAAATGTGGATTCTTAAATGAAATAAAAAACTTACTTGCGATCCAAATCCGCGGCAGTCTCCGGCGGGGGTGAGTCATCCAGTGATATAACTTGCTCGTAGGTCTTCGTAGTTCTCTGCCGCTTGCGTTCCCCATTGATCCGCATAAACTTGGACTTGCTGAGATACTTCCAGAAGAGCTTCTCGAAAATGGTGATGCGCTGGTCGATGGCCATGCTCAGCTCGATGATCTCGTTGGAGTTGAGCTTGTTCTTGCCCGCCAACCGGCTGATCACCTCCTTTCGCTCGGCCTCCTTGCGTTGCTCTTCAGTTTGCACGGGTGTTGGCGAAGGACCGTCTCCCTCTCCCATTCCCCCTGCAACTCCAGATCCAAATTGAGCACAGGGATCCGGACCAGCCGTGGGGTCAATCTTGTCACCGGGTTCCGTCTCATCCGTGCTATCCAGCGCTGGTTTTACGATGGTGCGGATGTTAAGGTGCAGATAGACGTGCTCCAAATAGCTATCCTCTTTCCACTTGGGATCATCGATGGACTCGATCTCCTCCAGTTCCTGCTTGGCTATCAAGGTGGCAGGGTCCAAAATCCTGTGCACCTCTAGGACAATGGGAATTCGACGAAAGTGCAACAGTCGATCGAATACAGACACCCTGATCTCACACAACTTGGAATGATGGCCCTTAAGTCGGAAAATCGGTGGGTTGAAGACCACCCCGAAAAACTCGTTGATAATGTAGCTGCAACAAGACACACGATTAAATAGTACTTCTCTGAATACATTTACATTTTCAAAGTGGTTGTGTTGAACTATTAGTTTTTAAATTGTAGAGCCGTCTCTAAGATATTAAGTACAATTTCGTTAAATTGGACATATAATAATAAACCCCACCTTTGCCAACGGAACTCCATGCATTTCTGTCCGTAATTGTGGACATTAACTAGCTGTGTCCGATCTTCCTTTAAACAGATTTCGAAACTCAATCTGTTTGGGTAGATGACGTGCAAAAAATCAGCACATTCCCGTTCTTTTAAGGGCATGTCCGTTTGCTCCTTTTCATCGGTCAGCACTCCTCGAGCCTTGATTTTGTAACGAGCCTTGGTACTTTCGTAGGACAGGACAAGTTCCGCCTACAGGGGAATTATAAAATTCAAATTTGTATAATGTTTTAACAAAAACATACCTCATTTTCGTAATCCAATGGCCGATAGTCCACCAAAAGAGGCCAAACACTCTGTCGAGGAACTGTAAGATTCATATTGAGCAGCTTGAGACCACGATCCCTCGATGCGAAGGAGAACGAAAGGTGCGACATCGTGATGTTCTGAACCCACAATGGCTGGGTGACATGGTAATAGGTTTTGATGTTCACTGGCAGCAGTTCCTTGGAGAGCAGGCACTTTTCCAAGTCGAAAGAGGTGATTTCCAAATGAAAGTGCCACAGGAACTTTCGTTTGTCCTCGGTACTACAATACAACAAAGAAAGGAGTTGTAAATTAGTTGAGTTTTTAATCTAAGTTTCTAACCTATCCCACAATTGTGTAAGCACATAAAATAACAACAACTTACTTAACTTCGTAGGTGAGCAGGTGTTCGCCGTAAAGGAAAAAGAAGGCTGTGACAGTGAGGGCCACCACCTCATCTGGTTTGATGGCCAGGACCTCCTGACTGATGTGGAGCAGCCTGCGATGGGGACAGTGGAATAGCTGACGGAACTGATTGAACCCGACTTGGGTCTTCAACGGTTGGCACTGGCAATTCTGGATCCGCTTTAGGGATATTGTGGTGTTTTTGGAAGAGAGGTTACGCAGCCAAAAAACCATCTTCAAAGGATGGCTGTGAATCTGGCGAATGGGTATTACGATCGTATGCTCGTGCTCTGGGCGGTTGGATCGCAACTTCCTGTTCAGTCTGAATAAGATAAAGGATTGGTAAGGATACACCATTGCTTCAACTTAATTTCTTTCTCACCCCGGAATATCAAAGCTCTCCCAGTAGAAAATCTTTAAGATAGGCGGTCGTATGATGGTCAGGTTCTCCACCATTAGCTTTTGATAGATGGGCGGTGGTTGAATTGGTCTACACGGCTTTTTCTCCGGCATCACAATGGTCACCAGCTGCTCCTCTTCCATTTTGAACTGGGAAATATATGTTACTGCCGCCTGGATAAAAAGATATTTTTTGTCTGCCGAAAGTTTAGATCTGTCACAAAAAATGAATGCTACTAACAACTGTTTTGTCTAAAACATACATCGATTGATATCCTTTAAATTTAAAAATATATTTATGTACTATAAATAAAAAAGCCGATTCCTAACGATCTTTTTAGGTTTCTTTTCAACTTTATAAAAATATATTTCCCTTTGTTGGGTCTCCTGCTGTTTGGAAAGCGAATAAAATAGCGGCGCCACAAAATGCAAAAGGGGAAAAGTGATGAAGGACAGCCGTGTGCACCTGTGCGTGTGTGTGTGCCTCGATAATCCTGTGTGCAATTCGTTTTTGTTTGTGAATTGACAAAGTGCCAAAGGCCAAGTGGGTGGGCGGCAGAAAAGAGCAAGAAAAAGACATTAGTGCCGTAGTAGAAAACAAACCTCCTGCCGAGAATCCAAGTCTAACACACGCATAGTTCTCTGCACGGTGTCCTCGAGTGTGAGAGTGTGTGTGTTCACGTGTGTGCGTACGTGGGTGACTGCAGTTGAGCTTCATCGAGAAAACATCGTTTACAGTTAGTCCGCTGACAGTGGCAAAGGTGAAAGACCAACAGCAATTATAGTACAGTGGAGGCTCTGAAAGCCAGTCAAGATAATAATATTTGGAAATAAAAGCAATAGTAAACACAGAACAGGTAAATAAATATAGAAAAGTAAGATTCATATTCCAACCAAATTCATATGCTACTGAAGGAAAAAAGACTACGCAGCATCCAAATGCACAGTTTTCATCCAATAAAATTTTAGGCATCCTAATTTGTAAAGTGAATCGAAAGGTTTTTTAAAACCATAAATTAAAAGAGATATATCTGTTTAATGCACATTTCCCGATAGGTATTTGGTTCATTAATGGGATCTTCATTGAATCCTCATTATGCATCGCATTTTTTCCCTTATGCAGTATTAATTATATTTAATCGTTATTGGCACTTAATGTCCACTGTCTCGGCAGCAGCTACAACCTGTGTGCATCAATCACAACCTTTGACACTGTCGCTGCCACGCTTATCAGTCATGTCCTTCCAAGTTCCCCCGTTGACACCCGTCACCCGTCACCTGCCCCCCCATCACCCCTTATCAGCAATCTGGCATGACAATGGTGGAAAATGGTCTATGACCACAATACAGGAACACAGGAATCCAAGAAAACAAGGCAGCTGCAATTGTCGGTGATTTTTCCCTCTTGTTGCTCCTCGGCGAAGGAAAATCGGAGTGTTTCGCTCGTGCCACCGTTGCATTTCACTCAAAGCGTTGCACTTCCACGCGTTTCAGCTCAAATTGCTCGGCGTGGAGCAAGTTTTATGTTTTAAGCAAATATTTTGTATCCCCTTTTTGTGTTGATGTTGCATGAACTGTTGACCAGCGACAACTTGTTGGGCAATTGTTGTGGTTAGACTTTGAGATGCCTGGGGTTTGGCTAAGGGGAACTGAGCCCCTTGATGGCTCAGTCAACTCCTTCAGAGTGTCGCTGGCTGTGCATAATTATGGCTTAGTTTGCTGCTTCAAGCAGGCCCAACTAATTACTATAACAAACCACCTCGGCTCCCCCGTCTTATGGCTTGTTCTTTTTTCGGCCAGAAGCACATGGCAATTAAAAACTTTTTACGCAAGACATTTTTTTACATTTTCCTTCGTCAGGTGAAACTTTATCGCAAGTTTCTGGAATTCCCCCAGTTATTGTAGTTCCTCTCACCGAACCTTCGCCCACATCTGTCGCGCTTCATAATTGAAAATCACTTAGAGCGTGAAGTGGGGAAAAACATTTTCACAGCCAGAGGTAAGTAGAGAGCTCAGAGTAGGGGAGCTACTGCAGAGAAACAGTGATTAACTGCTTAAAGCCAATTAAGTGTCATTTAAAAGGAATTAAACTTTGCACTGCTTGCTACTATTCAAATTCAAAGTGTTAAAAAGGTAAGCAAATCTTAAGGAATTATAATCTCACTTATAAAGCGCTGGTGTAAATAAAATAGTTAAATTTATAACAAGAATTAAACATTTCCTCTAAACATTTTGAAAAATAAAAAGAGGGCTTGTATTAATATTAACAAATTATGTTTTACCCAATCATACCTTTAAAGTTTAATTAAAATAAATAACTTATTTCTCCTTCAACTTAAACAACTTAAATGTGTGTGTTTTGTATTACACTTAATTGCTTATAAACCATTTTGTGCGTTCGTATGTGTTGCCCTGAATTCAAGTGATTTTCCTCGTAACAAAAGGTTAGATAGCCATTCTGGGGGAGGCGTCAGACGTGGGGGCGTGGCAGTCACTGACACTCAACATCCGCTCTTGCCATTTCCATGCGAATGCCGGCGAAATGCGAAGGAGAAATTGAGAAGGAGAAAGCGGCAGAAGAGCAAGAATTGCCAAGCCACAAAACAAAGCAATACATTGTGCAAGACGAGGAGCGGGGGATTTTCGGGGAGGAGCTGGGGCAAGAGGCTTCTGTTGCTGTGGCTGCTGCAAACAATTATTGTTATTCCAATTGAAATACAGCCTCCTCCATCCATCCTCCCCCGAATCTCCCACTCATCCCCTTCATTTCCTTCACCCCAATTTTCCCCATTCCAACCGCAGTCCTGTGGCCTTTGTAGAATTGCTATCAAAATTATACACCTTGCAGCGGAATGAACGACAGGCGAAGGGGGTAGAGGGGTTTGTCGAGTTCATTGTAATGCAAATTACGTATACGCCATGGTGTAACTGCAAACTGGACGAAGCCCCCAGCATCCAGCGCCCCTCGCCCCTTGATTACTCTTGTTTACGTCCATGTGTGCATGCATATTTTTGATCCTTTTCATTGTCAGTGCTGAAAAAGTAATAATAGCGAAAATATGAGACGCTTTGTGGAGAACGTTGCTCAAGGAGCGTTAGGAAAATGCAATTAAGGCATTAACCAGTGTGGAAAGTAATTGCATATCTATGTGTGCTGCCATAACCTGATTACGACCTCTAACTAAACCTTTTTGCAGTTAAGGGGATTTTCTCGGAGCTCGGCTTATTGGCTCAACGCCCGAAATTGGCACACTTAATCATCCAAATAAGTTTAGAGCGAAAACTTTGCCCAGTGTCCAGAGGAGCAGAGGAAATGCAACATTTTGCAACCGGAAATGCACCCGAATAACTTTTCCCAAGGGGGCCGAGCGGGTGGGCAGGCCAGTGTCGATTCAAGGGCCAGGAAGTTGTCGCATTTAAATGGGAAAACTTCAACACACAAACTGGATAGGATACACAAACACCAGAAATACGAGTATTCCCCAAAGGCAGTTCGCTAAACCGAAATGTATACGTTAACGACTGATAACGCCAAATGGACGCAGCTTAGTGCGATTGTGGCAAAAGAGTTGAACGCTTTTCCAGCCTTGGACCGCAAAACCGGAAGCGGAAACCGCATCCGCCACGCCATCGCTGTCATCATCACCGCCATCATTGTCATCATCGACGTGGGAGAGCCTCTTCCTCTGACAGCCGCTGGAGTCCTTTTCCTATATGCAGATTCTGCTCGCACAGGAATACCCGTACCTTTGACAGCTGGGCCTGCTTGCTTTTCCGCTTTTCCAACTCTTTTCACATGCCCCGCAAGCAGCTTTGTCGGTCGGTCCCTTTCCTCCTCGCCAGTCGATTGCCCACAAAGCCGCGAAGAGGATATTCATTGCAAGCCAGTGTTTACAGTGCGCGCCAAAGCTGGGTGGGTTGAAAAATCGTTTACAAATAACTAATTGGCAGTGCACCACATGGGAGCCTTCAAGCTTAATGGATGGTCTTCAATTTTGTACCTATAATTTAATATTCGTATATTAGTAGGCAGTGTTTGGCTGACTTGAAGTCTTGAAGATTCTACTCAGTATTCTAAATATCAATTGCTTAATGAGCCTCTACACACAAACTACTTTTTTTATTAACATCTTATGTTAAGGCACCAACATAAAACCTTTAATATATTTTATAAGAGATCAACTTTTTGCGTTTTAAATAAATAGTTAAATATATTCACCGTAACTTATAAAAAATGTTGCTGGAACTGACGCATCGCATTTGGTAAGAGCATATCTTTCCCGATGCTACGTGTTTCAACAACATTTTCAGAAGAAACTTTTTACTTGGCGCAATTTTACATTTCAGGTACGGCTAAAAACGAAGTTGTGAATACCCTTTAAAGTAAGTATTCAGATAATTGAGTACAATAAATTTGACTATAAAACATCAACCTGAAAAAGTGAGAAACATAATACGAATATACTTACAATTATTTATAATATAGAATACTAATAATCTCAAAACGTTGTACACTTATAATATAGTTTTATAACAAGCAAATATATGCAAAAAATGTTTACATATGTGTGAGAGTATGGACGGCACCAGATCCAATTTTTATTTATTTTCGGATAGTTGGTTGCGTGGTTGGAACTCAACTGCAATGGCAACTGGCGAAAACCGACAAAAAATATTCGCTCTGAATATTTAATTGTGCGCGTTCCGTGCATTTATCTCGCTTGCCACACACACTCGCACACACACACTGGCACACTGGCACACACACACGTAGGAGCATGTGTGAGGGAGCGTGGCTTTTGAGCTGGTTTGTTGCGGTTGCATATTTGTGGCTCTTTGGGGTCTTTTCGATTTTCGAAATGCGCTTTTAGTTTGTGGGTTTGTTGTTTGCATTTCTTTGGGTTCCTGGAACTTGTTGTCAGTTGTTCTTTTTACTTTGTCGTCTCCAACTGTTGTTTGTCTTTTTACACCAAAAACCTGGCAACTGTATAAATAAAAATTTCTCAGCTATTTTCTCTTTTTACTTTTTTTTGGCAGAGCCGCCCGTTTTGTCTGCATGAGTTTGTGGGTCGTTACTGGCGTTCTTGTTGGCGCTTTTTGGCTTAACTTATTTTTGGGATGCTTTGGGCTCGGCTTACCATATTGATATGTAAATTCTGTGGGTTCTGATCTTGTCATTGCGGTTTTTGCATTCGTCGTT